TTTCAGTTAACACTATGATTTTTAAAAAACAAAAACAAAACACAACCCTGCTGTTGTTTTGGTTGCTGCCATTTTAGTAACTTCCCCCCTCCCATATTAAAGTGCTTCTAATCTAAAACAGATATAAAAAAGTCACAGAATTGTAGAGTTGGAACAGACCCCAAGAGTCATCTAGTCTAACCCCCCGGAATGCAGGAATCTCAACTAAAGCATCCATGACAGATGACCATCCAATCTCTGCTTAGAAACCTCAAATGAAGGAGAGTCCACAACCTCTGAAGGGAGTCTGTTCCACTGTCAAATGGCTCTTAACCACCAGAAAGTTCTTTGTGATGTTGAGGCGGGATCTCTTTTCTTGTAACTTGAAGCCATTGGTTTGAGTCCTACCCCACAGAGCAGGAGAAAACAAGCTTGCTCCATCCTCCATGGGACAGGGCCTTGAGATACTTGAAGAGGGCTATCGTATCTCTTCTGTGTCTCCTTTATTCCAGGCTTATTATCCACTCTTCATGGAAATGCCCCGTTTTCTTGCTCCTGCTGCTGACTTGGCTTGCTCTCCTCACCCTGTCTTCTCTTTAAACCCTCTTCCACCTCCTCTCCAGTTCAAAATGAGCGCCTGCAGTTATTGTTCCCACCTCTTCTTCTTCAAAGCCTATTACGGGAGGTGAGCAGCAGAATGGGGCAGCAGTAGTACATGCCTGTGGGCCATTTGGAACAGGAGTTTCAACATGTTACCTTGTGCTCTGACCAGCTGACTTGCCCACTTACAACTCCATCCACATCCAGCACAGTAGCAACACCTCAGTGCCATTGAACTTCTGGGCACCCAGAGATCTCCACGTGGTCGCAATTGGACTCACATTGGACACAAAATGCGCATGGCACCCAGGGAATTTTGAACACCGTGCGAGTGAGTGAGAAGGAGAAGTGTGGCTATGCAGAGCAATTGTATTCAGACAGAAGTCTCACTGAGTTCAATGGAACTTACTCCCAAGTAAATATGCTTTGATCTGCAGTAGCCTTAGCAATCCAATTAGCAGTCTGGATAGTTTAACAAGAGACTTAAAAGAAACAAAAACAACCCGAGAGAACTTCTGCACCTTTCATAGTTACTTCAGAGGAAATTTCTGCAGATTCTGTTTGTCTTGCAAGCTACGTACATCTGCTGAAATTCTCTCTTCTACACAGCTATTACAGGTACAGGAGCCCTATCCTCTATCTCTTTTTTACCCATCTGGTCACTCCATTTAAATTCTTTTTTGAAGAAATGTATTGGGCTGCAAAATGCCTTTGTGTTTTCAAGTTGTGAGTCAAGGACCCGCAACCCGCGTAGGGGTAAATAAGACACAAGGACACTTGTATTTTAGGTTAATGTGCTAAAGAAGGCCACAACTTTATTGGTTACAGCATGTGAGTGGTATTGGCTTAGGCATTGGATCAAACAACCTATATATGACCCTACCCTGCGCAGCGGGGGGCCATTTGAAGGTTAACAACCAGGGGGAGGAGCTTGTTGATGCAAATACAACTGGAAGCTTCCCCTGGTGTCATAGGGGGTCGTGCCGTGGCCCTAGCCACCAGCAGAGCATCGGACAGGATCCATGACCACCGGTTTCCTTTAATGGAATACCCAACAAGGGAAGGGGTAGGTGATGGCCACACCCTGCCCCCCAACACACGACACATATTCCAATGCCTAACCACCAATACCAGAAATGTTGTGACGATTTGCTATGAGGTAGGCGAAAAACCAAGAGGCTGGTGCCAATTTGCCAAATGGATAAAAAAATCCTACCAGGCCCCCTGGGCAACCAACCAAAGTCCATAGGAAGGTCAAGAGCATAAATATGACCTAAAGGGAGGACGGGCAGGTGATCCAACGACTCTGGGAAGCAGCATGAGGTGCGGGGCTGCCACGGCCGCTTGAATGCAACTAGACCCTGCCCCCAAGCCAAGCCTATTGGCTGGCCTGACAGGCGCGGTGCAGCAGCCGGGGAAATGATGCAGGGGGAGGGGGCCAAATACGCCCCCCTGCTGATGCGGGAACAGCTCCCGCTCACAACACCTCCCCTCTGGGAGGCAGAGAGGCTTTGTCAGAATTGGAGGCTACAAAGCAAACGTGGTAGTTTTCTTCAGGTGGTCAAAGTAAATGCCAGAGCTGTAAGACTTGCTCCCACTATGTAAGGCTCTGAAGGAGGTGTCTAACTGCATTCATACAAGAGACCAGGCCCTGCAAATCCCGTTGATGTGCCAAATACTATCCTCTTAAGCCCCAACTTTACTCCTTCGCTCACTTGCAGCTTCTGTTGCAAGGTGTCACCAGACTGGCTCTACTTAAGAAGTGGTGCCTTACAATCATGATGACAACGACATTGGATTCATATCACCTTTTAAATCTTACATACATTACATGAACACCCAGCATTATGCCTGCAAGCAATTACTTAAGTCGCCTGCTTCATTCATGCATGTACATCACTTGAATTCTGTTTAATTGCTTGCTAAACACTCAATGACTGTCAGCTGAATGCGTAAGCAACTCCCATTGAAAAGCATTGTGTAAGGGAACGTGAGGGGATATAAAAGTTCAATTTGTGTTATGGCTGTGGTAACTCATTAAATACATAGAATCATGTATTTGTAGAGTTGGAAGGGACCCTGTAGGTTATCTAGTCCAACCCCCTGCAAGTCATCGCTTTTTACTGCAGTATACTCATCCACTCCTGCCAACATAGCAGTTTGAAAGCACGTCAAAGTGCAAGTAGATAAATAGGTACCACTCCAGCGGGAAGGCAAACGGTGTTTCTGTGCGCTGCTCTGGTTTGCCAGAAGTGGCTTAGTGGAAATGTATACAACGTATTGGGCTAAAACCTATACAAAAATAATATGTTACTTGGTCATTGAAACATTCCTCTTCTCCCAGGCCTTCGGCTGATTAAATAATATATGGCCTTTTATTGTTTGTTATTTCAGCATGTATTTTTGTGTTTTTATACTGTAAACTCACCTGTGATATTCGGATGAAGGGTGCTATAGAAATTTAATTAATAATAATAATGCTGTATGAAGTAGTGCAGTTGATTCATCTGTTCAGGTGATTGTTGGGTGATTTTAACATTCACATGTAAGAGAAAGTGGCCCTAGGTTGCAGTCACAGGCCCCCTTTCCCTGCACAAAGACTCTTTCCACTGGAGAAAGAGAACCTTTGGATTCGAAGCAAGAGGCAGACCAGGCAAGTAGTAGGTGCTCTGCGTGCAGAAGGCAGAGAAATGCTGCTGGGTGACAAAGAGAACGTGGACTTGCTCATTCGGAGCTCTGGCCCACCTGACCTTCTCCCTGCTGCCCCTCTAGGCTACTTGTGCATAGTCTTCTTGATTTCCCATTTATTATATGCCTTAGCTGCTTACATCTCAGCTCATCGTAAACTCGCTTCCATGCAGCCACCCCAATTTGCCTTCTTAAGTCATGCCATTCTTACATCTCAGCTCATCTGTAAACTCCTTATGCAGCCACCCCAATTTCTTTAGAAACCTCTCACTTTTCTTTCTTGTTGGGATTGTCTGCATTTCTGCCTTCAATATTTCACATTTAAGAATCTCTCATCCATCTTGGACTCCCTTCTCTTTGAGTATTTCTGACTATGGGATTTCACCTTAAGCTTTTTGGAATTGGCCTTCTTAAAGTCCCAGAGTGCTCCGGGAAGGCGTCCTCCAGGTCTTCAGTCTGGTAGATTAGTCTGAGATACAGTGACCAGGCCAAGGTTGGAAAATGCATGCTGGAAAGACTTTGTGCGTATGTGTGTGTTTTATTTATTGAAATCCAGATCATGTTTACAAGGTACCCCTAACCAGCAAAATGCTGTCACTAAATTCACCCGAATACAATCTCATACTTGATACAGCTTGCCTTTTAGGAGAAAAAACATCAAATAAAGCTGCCAACATGTTACATAGGTTCAAGTTGAAATTTCAAATCATCATATACTAAAAAATATTTCCAACTCAACATCCCATTTTGCTCATAGTATTTATTACAAATAATAATTGGATGTAAAACCTATATGATTAGAAATGTTATTTATACTGTGAAGTAGCACTACTGAGTTAATTGGGATTTACTCCCACGTAAGTGGATAGAGGATGTTGGTCTTCTTTTCTTGCGTTGCATTTTGGAGTTTAAGCTCCACAGGTCAGGGATCATGTTGTGCAACTCTGTGCATAGCTTCTTAGAAGTAGTTGTCATTGAATTGAGTGAGGCTCACAGATTTCAGTGAGAAATATTGGTATGCGCTTCATTCCACTGGAAACCAATGAGACTTTGAAAGAGGTGTGGCTAACCTTCAGCTCTCCAGATATTGCTGAGCAAAGGCTTCCGTCATTGAGCATACTGGCTGGAGTTCATGGGAGTCAAGGCTCAGCCATGTCCTTAGCCATGGTCCCACAACCTCCTTGGCTGTACCCCCTTACCAGGTCCAGGAGCTGCCAGCCATCCCTGATGGTTAACACTGTCCCATTGGGTGGTGTCATGCAGCGCAAATGGCAACCTGAGAACTGTGTGAGTTCCCCAGCACAGACAAACTGCTTCCCATTATGCTTGTTTTTAAGCTGCAAGAAATCCAAAAGTATATAGTTACTATCAATTTAATTGGGAAGTGGAGCGGGCAAATGCCACAGTATCCAGTTCCAACTTCTTACAGTTGTTACTTGCGTTATAGGAATATCATTGCCTGCCTCCCCCATTCTTGCATTCCAGTCTCACAAACAGCTATAGAGTATTGGACTTTAAAAAAATGATTTTCATGTTTTGCACTTGTATAGTCAAAAGCGTAATGATAATCCTATTAAAGATCTTGTGTCATGGAGGAGGGGGGGTCGGCTCAGCGTGTGCTGGGCTGGAAGCTTGCTGCCATTGGCTGGATGCGAAACAGAATAGGAGGGGCTCTGGGATGGGGCAGGATTTATTACTTGTTATAGTTAGAGCAGGGATTTCTTCTGTGGGAAATGCCCAGTGGTTGCGGCTGCTGATGATCTCACATCGACAGCAGTGCAGTGCTGAGTGAGGAAGGGTGACCCAGGAATTGAGGACTGAGAAAAATACAGCAAGCAGATGAAGAGAGGGAGCAGAGGAGGAGAAGCGTTTGCCAGAGCAGCAGGCAGAGCAGCGAAGGGAAGGCAGGAGCTGAAAGAGAGAGGACGGCTCATGCCGAATGCCTTCCAGATGCACTGAAACCACCAACGAACCTTTGGGAATGGCTACAAGGACTGCTTGCTGCCTGTAGAGCAAGGGTTGTGGACTGACTCTGTGTGTGTGAGAGAAAGAGTGTGTGGCCGGGGGAGAGAAGGAGAGAACTTCACAGTACTCTTGATTAAAATGTTAAGTTGTGCATAACAGATTTGGCAAGACAGCCTGAGAAATGCTGCTGCAAGAGACTCTGGCGTGTAAATCACAGCCACTGATGCATATAGGACAGCCTGCTCTGGCATAAGGGTGGAGAATAAAAGAATGGAGGCAATGCAGAGAATATCAGAATAAAGGTCTGCATTGGGTCGTTGGATTTAATAAGGAGGAGGTGGCGCTGAAAGAAGTCAGCCTCACATGAATGGTGGACTTGACACGAGGTGCTGTGCTGAATTCTGAGAGATGCTAGACATTCAATCTGACAACTGTGCAAAGAGAGACCATGGAGAAATCAAGTAGTGAGGATTCCTCAATTCACCGGAGTCCATCTTTGGACAGCAAGGATTCAGACTTTGCTAAACCTTCTACCTCAGGCAGGCAGTTTGGCCGAGGCTTCACTGCCGGAGCTTTCTATGGTACCACGGGATCGAACACACAGAGCCATACTGCAGCTGCAGCTGGGACTGGTGTCAAAAGTGACAAATACAATGCACCCAAAGGCAGCAAATACGTGGTTTTTTATCTGGATCTATCATTTGTTTTCCTTTTAGAATTTAAGAAGTGCAGCATGGCGAGGGGCTGCTTGTGTTGTTTGAAATACATGATGTTCCTTTTCAATTTAATATTTTGGGTGAGTACTGCATTTTTATATTCTTAATTAAGAGCTCCATTTCCCTACTGCATCGTGAGCACAGTATATTTTAAGCTTGAACGTTAAGATTTCCCCCTCCTTCCTTTTACCTGCATGGAATATTTATGGAGCTGAATCCATGTCGTACGCTAGAGGGGAAAATGCAAAATTCTCATATCTTTTGGGTTTCATTTTGACAAGATTTATTTGCAGTAAACTGTGTGTTGAGCAGGCTGTATTAAAGAAAACAGAACCTTTCTCTTAGCCAAATTATTCATACCGACATAGGTGGCATCTGTTTTAATATTACCTCAAGCTGCTGTAAGTATTTCTAAGCCGTTCCTATTAATCTGGCTCACTTTCCTAACAGAGAAAAAAAGTGGGTTTTTTTTTTTAGTATGAATGAGATTTAGTCTCTAACCGTCACTTTTTTTAAAACCAAGATTCTTAATATGGTCAGTGAAAATGACAAACAATAAGGACTTTTGAGCTACTGTTACTCACATTGGCAAATTGGAGGGCCTGCTTTTTGTGGGACCAAAATTGATTTTCCTTGGTTAGCAAGCCAGGAGGCGTGAGGAATGGCAGCAATGCTTCAGTAAGCAAATTTGAGAACTCCTAGCAGCTACTATGATCTAAATGATGTCATGTGCACTTGGAAAATCAGGCTGTTGATGCCAGTCAGCAAATAATTTTTGTTTAGAACTAATGCACAATTTATGATCTGTCTTGGTTTTCTTGACCAAAACCAAAGTTTATCAGGTTTGAATGATTAGGAAAAGCAATAATGAGCATTCTAATGGTAAAATCATGCATGTGAGCTTGAGGAACAATTATTCAAGGCAGACATCTAGATACAAAAATGGTACCATTGCATTATTAACCTTTTTTGAGTTTTATAGTAAACCAGCATTGTTTGAGTTAAACTAGTTTGTTTCTTGGCAGCTGGTTTTTCTGTGTGATTGACTCAGTTTATCTTTTGAAGGCCAGATGCACTGTGAGAACTGGGCAGATATTCCCGAATAATTGCATTTCAATAGTTAATGGATTCGAGGCAGGTGCAGGAATCTGCTTTAAAGACAACTCTCTAAGTAAAATACTTAACCACTTATATCCAAACGCCTTCATTATTTGTGTTTGCTTTACCCCATAAATAGCAGAAATTCACCCCACTCACTTCTAGATTTATTTTATAGGAAAATTTTGAACCTAAAATTCCTGAATCATGTCTGTTTGAAGTTACATTGCTAATTCCATGTATTGCTAAGGTGTGTGTGTTATCTAGTGTGTTATCTTTGTGGACCATTGCATTTTGTTAAATTACAGTCACTATGAGATGAATTGCTTGAAAGGCATCTAAATTAAAACTCAGATATTTATAGCTATGGTACATTAAATCTATATGCACACAAGTTGGGGCGAGGGGCTGAGCTCATGGCTGGTAAAATTGTTTGAAGTTTCCTCTTAAACCACTTTCCCCGTTGAAGAGGGAAAGTGAGTCTCAGTTTAAATTTTGCAACCAAAATGTAGAGCAGCCCAGGCCCACGGTGAACAGGCCCGGATGGAGGGAGGTAGCGCGGGCCGGCCCAGCACTCCTCTCCGCTGGCATCAGGAGAACTCACTGGCCGAGCACTGTGTGGGTGGGTGGGCAGGCAATCCCATTTGGCTCGGGGAGGGGGGACGCTCTGGTGGCTTCGGTGGCTTTCCCACCCTGGGCACTGGCAACCCACGCTATGCTGCTGTGCTTAAGTGGTCAACAGCTCTTATTGAGCTCCCATGAAACTTAAGCAGGCTGGCATGCAACAAAACTTGCATATCTTTGGGGTTGCCTGGTTCATTACTGCTGCAATGCTTCTGGGCCTTCAGTTTAGCACCCATTCCAGTATGAGTGTAGGCCTTTCGTTTCTCCCACATGAATGGATGACTGTCATTCACTACAAGGGAAGAGAGTACAGAGTTGTATTCAGGAGCAAAGTTGCAGTAGGGGCAAAGTCTGACCTGATGGTCAGTGGCCCAGCGTATGGATTGCAGTGGTTCTCCTCTCCTGCCTGAAGGCAGCATGGGCATTCCTCTGGCATTCCTTCGTTTCATGGCAAAATGGTAGGTGTTCCCATCAGATGTCAAAGAGATAAATAATTACCTGACATTCAGAAGACATCTGAAGGCAGCCCTGTTCAGGGAAGTTTTTAATATGTAACGCTGTACTGTTTTTAACACTGATTGGGAGCCGCCCAGAGTGGCTGGGGAAACTCAGCCAGATGGGCGGGGTATAAATAATAAATTATTATTATTATTATTATTATTATTATTATTATTATTATAGGTTGGAGAGGGGGCAATGAAATTTCAGTCGGTCCAAAGACTTGTAGGATTGCTGTGATGAATAGGTTGACACAAGAGCTAGTAAAAATGTGGATTAGAAATGTTGCAAGAGCATCTGGCATAGAAGTTCCAGCAGAGAAATGTTATCCACCTTTCACAGCACTCTGATCATTTGATACCTCTCCTAAACTTTTTTGTATACTCTCAGATCCAATGAAAAACTCCTCATGCTTACCTCAAAGTCTATGCACTCCACCACTTCTATAGTGATGCCTTCGATCCGCCACTTCTATCACTTCCAGGTACCCCAAGATCTCTTGCTCCCTCAAACAGCTCTGCTGAAACTGCTTTCCAGAACATCTGCATCTTTATGCCTGGAACTGCTTTCCAGAACATCTACATCTTTATGCCTGGAACTGCTTTCCAGAACATCTGCATGGTGGCAACTCTCTCTTGCTTCAAATTCAACCTCAAATTGCACCTTTTCTGTGAAGCTTTGGCACAACACACAATCCCCATGACTTAATGTAACTAAACATAACTTTCTCCCTGGGTTGGTTCAGACCAGGAAGGGAGTGCAGCTGCTGGCTACACCTGCTTTACTCCCTTGTGCAAAATTCTCATTTGTGGGGAGGCTTCAAAAATTATTCAGTTTACTGCTAGGACTGAGAGGAGTTGTGGTTCAGTAACATCTGGAGGACCAAAGGCTTCCCCCATCAGGTTTAATTCAATACCAAATATCTTAACCAGAATCCTAGTATTGTATCTTTCTTTCCCTGTGCAAACAACTTTTAGGAGAGCATTGTATCAGAGTGAAAAAAACATACATAGATGAGATCCCCAGGGAAGTAAATGGGGGCTGGACTAAATTTTGCTGGAGGATTTATCAGGGGTGACGGTGAAGGAAGAGGGAAGTTACCCAGGGCCCCACACTTTGAGGGGTGGGGGAGTCTTGTACAAAATCCTGCCTGCATCCTTATAGTCATTCTCAGTCTACCTTGTATTTATCTTAGGACTATTGCAAGCAAGTCCCTCCCTACAGAAACACTTGCAGAAGATGGGCCCATCTCCAGGCCCATCTTCACCAGTAGTACACCAGTAGTTTATTCACCAAGATCCACCGTAATGCTTTTTTTCTGCACGTGCCCAGTTCACTCAGGGCAGCAGGAGGAGGCAGCTGTCAATTTGATTTAGTAAAAGTGGAAAGGAGAAGAGATCCACCTGGGAAGACAACCTAGATATTCTGAAATTTCAGAATAGAATAGGATAGAGTCTGGTCAGACAGATCTCACAAAACAAGCTCAACAAGAATAAAAGAAAACTCATTAAAACTTTTTACAGGTGGTATCTCTACTAGCCGGAATAATAAAAACAGGTGAAACCAAATGTTAGAGAGGATGCAATGTGATTGGAACATATTACCACATGTGGTGGTCATGTGATAATGTGTATTCATTCTGGAAAAAATATCTTCAAACAATCTCAATAATAATTAAATTTGAACTGCCACTGTGTCCTAAACTTGCTCTTCTTTTGATTTTTGGTACGAATCTTCCTATTAGGGTTTCCAGAGAACTCATTCTTCATCTTTTTCCTGTCACCAGATTAGTGATCTCAGAACATACAGACATAGCCAACAGTTGCAGGGAGAAGGTCAGGTGGGTTAAAGCTCAGAATGAGCTCAGAGTTGCAAGGAAAGCTACAAAAAAGGGGAGGGGTTCTTCGGTGATGTGTTCAAAACAAGAAGAAGAACAGGAAGTAGTAGGTCCTCTGAGTGCAAAAGACAGAAATGCTATTGGGGGACGGAGAGAAGGCAGAACTGCTTAACACCCACTTTGCCTCTGTCTTCACCCAAAAGGAAAGCAGTGCCCAACTTGGTGATAACAGACTAAATGATGCAAGGAAAGAACTGCAGCTCAAGAAAGGAAAAGTGATAAAGGAACACCTAGCTACTTCAAACCAATTAAATCTTCAGGGCCCGATGAGCTGCTCCCAAGGGTACTAAAGGAGCTTGCAGATGTAATCTTAGAGCCTCTGTCTATAATCTCTGAGAATTCTTGGAGGACAGGTGAGGTCCCTGCAGACTGGAGGTGACCAAATGTTGTCCCCATCTTCAAGAAGGGGAAAGAAGACACAGGTAACTACTGACCTGTCAGCTTGATGTTGATACTGTAGATGCAATGTAGCTCGATTTCCGGAAGGCTTTTGATAGAGTCCACCACGATATTTGTGCAGAGAAGCTGGTAAAATGTGGACTACACAAGAATGCTGTGAGGTGGATTTGTAGCTGGTTGTCTGACCAAACCCAATAAACGGTTCCTCGTCATCCCGGAAAAAAAGTGACAAGTGAGGTGCCACAGGGTTCTGTTATTATTCAATATCTTTATAAACAACTTGGACAAAGGAATTGAGGGGATGTTTATTAGCAGATGACATCAAACTGGGAGGGGTAGATAATACTACAGAAGATAGAATTGGGATTCAATGTGACTTTGGAGAGCTGAGCCAAAAGTAACAACATGAATTAAAATAGGACAAATGAAAGGTTCTGCACTTATTGGGTCATCTGGCTTGCCAGTATACAAAAAGGATCTAGGGGTCTTAGTAGGCCACAAGCTTAACATGAGTCAACAGTGTGATGCAGCAGTAAAAAAAGGTAATGCTATTCTAGGTTGCAT